TTGGATAAAATCTCACACAGTAATCAGATAAAAATACTTTTGTGTTATCGATGAGCAACAATCTTTGAAAATAACTCGGTCACTGGTTTCAGTCTTAGAAAAACAAAGTAAACCCTTTCACTGCAGTTACCCGCCAAATTAAAATAATGTTTTTTAACAGAAAATATTTCTTTCCAAAAATGAACAATAACCACAGGCGCAGTAAGAATACAGTCTGGTGGCCTTATAAATACACCGTATGTACAGGTGCGTCACAAAAATGGTAGAAAACAGAAGGAAGTGGCAGGCGTAGAACTAACCTAACTGTATTTCAAAATAAAACAGGAAGCAGCTAAACAGAAACTTTGAAACATGCTTTGCTTCCTCCTCTCAGATGAAGAACTGGAAGAGACGGTACTTCGTCCTGGATGAAAATTCTCTCAACTACTACAAAACTGACATGGTGAGGAAACGGCGACGAGCTCGAACACGGTGACATCAGTGCACAAAGACACATCACGCTGCTCCGAAACAGACACCGAAGAAGAAGAGAGTGAAAAAAATCTGTGCTGGTTGCAAAACGTGCTGCGTGTCTGCACATGCAGAGGCATGCGTCCTGAATACCTCCTCGTGTGATCTACGTGTGGACAGATTAGCCCTGACTACGGCCTGTCTGTGCACATATATGGGCACACCCAGTGTGTGTGCGTACATATATGTGTGTCTGGCTGAGTGTTCACACCTTTTTTATGTGTAATCATGTCCTGAGTGAGTGCAGCTGCTGCAGAGTGTTCGTTCTTCAACTGAAAGCTGAAGAAGGAAAGTTTGTTTCAGTTTGTTTCTCAGTGATCCGTGTCACAAGCATTTCCCACATTCCTGCAGGATCCGTATCCACACTGGAGGTTTTGATAGTCTGATTAATCCTGTAAAGCGAACACCTGAAAGTTTCTGTAAAGTCCGACGTGTCATTTATTTGCCGCTCTTCGTTAAAAGCTCGTGAAGCTCATTGACGTCCATGTTTACCCATCGCCTTCCTCGTGTTCACGCTGACATTTGTTTGCATGCTATCGCCGCTGACTGCGAGTCACACAGACTGACACGATCGAGCATTTAGATCATGCATATCATCAGCACCATCTGACAGTCAAATAACCCCAGCCTTCAGCAACAGCACGCACTGAGCACCGTTTATAGGTGATTTACTTAGTTAGCGTCGTCAAGTGCTGATTATAGGCAGCTCATTAAGCCAGGTGATGCTGCACATCAGGGATGTCAGACTAATCTTCC